GTAGCCCAGGCTGGCCTCGAACTCACAGAGATCCGCCTGGCTCTGCCTCCCGAGTGCTGGGATTAAAGGCGTGCGCCACCACCGCCCGGCAAGCCCTAAATTCTTATATACAAATTGAATCTGTTCTCTTATATGACATTATTCATGGAAAACTTTGAACAGACACACTCAAAAACAATTCAAGCTGTCTTGGGGGGTTCTGGCATATGTGCATGCACACTGTCACTTACCCAAAGAGGCAGCATACGGGAGGTGCTGCCCCCCCAAGACTTAAAGGAAGGGCCCACCAACTACAGATCCAGACATGCTGGGCAATGAGCCTAGAGCCCTTCCTGATCCCTGGCTGGCAACTCTGGTTGGTGTTGCCCTTTCATCCTGTCCACAGCGCCAAGTCCGTATCAAGGACGGGAAGGTCATGCAAAGAGGTGAGGATGTCAACAGGAGACCCCTGGCTATTTTATCACAGTACAGTTCAGGGAGAGAGAGATTAGGGACATAGGACGTGAGTTATAGAGAAAACCAAAGAACAAACATCAGCCAAGTGTAGACTTAGTGGTAGACCCCTCAGACATCCAGCCTTCTACCCTGCCCAGCCATCTTCGTTTTATAGAGGAAAGCTCTGAGACCAAGAGGCAGGTCCCAAGGTCATGTGGAAGAAAATGGAGGGACTGGGACCCAGGTCTGTGTAATTCTTCCCAGTTAGTCAGATTGGAGTCCCCAGTATCTAAGTATCAAGCCAGCATTCCATGTGTGGCTTGTTGCAGGAGACCTATACTTGTCTGAGAAACTTCTCGAATTCCCTTTTCTCTTTCCTCATCATGGGCCACAACTTAAAAGAACAAGGGCCAGCCTATGAATACATTGCCACTGCCCCCTGGCACATCTTCACAGGGCATTTTTCCTCCTGGTGAGTAAAGAGATGTTTATACCATAGATTCTACAAGTGATCCTCAAATGAGCCTGCTCTTGAGGTCTCCAAAGCCTATATAGTAAACAGTGGTCACACCCAAGGAGAGGCAGTGTAGCCACTTTGTCATCTGGCATCTCCTGGCTCAGCTGGCAATGGGGATGTTTGTGAGGCAGGTTGAGCTCATGGACAGTGCCCTGGAGTTTCCAAAACCCACCAGTCCCATTTAAGGTGATGGTCTGAACTCTTAACCCTGCCCGGCTCTTCTCAGACATGTCACTTAAGTGACTGAGGGAGGATATGAGGGTCCAGTCCATCACTCACGCTGAGTAAACAGCTCAGGCTCCCATGCCTTCCTGGGCTTGAGTCACTTGCAGTCATCTCTGTCCTGAAAAGGGTGGCATGCTGTCACTATTATTCTGGAAACAGGCTCCTGCCCAAACCGCCTCCATGCACCTGGCTCTGACGGCTTCTGAATCACTGGAAAACAGCATTCCCAAGTGGACTCTGGGATACACAGACCAGATGTGGTCTACAAGTGTCCCTTGGATGATTGGCTTTCTTGGGACGATCATCTTTTAACTGAATATGTGACTCGTTTTAGTTTATTTCCACACTCTGCATGTAGAGTACACAGTGTCTGTGAAAAGCATTATCCCTGTGGCTATTTATACTCATAGACTGAGCGGACACTGACCCAACACTGGTATGGACACTTGCGCCAGGGCCTCAGCAGTAAACAGACACCCTGGTGTTGTGTAAAGGACTCAGGAGTAGACAGGCAACCAGAAGACATTGCAGAAGTTTTAGTGGAGCAGTCTTGAGGATCTATGGGGCTGGGGGTGCTGGCCCAGAGAAAGCAACAATGAAGATTTTCCTAGAGAATTAGTAAGAGCCCCTGGAGAGAAGTCAGAAATCCCACGGCACAGGAAGAGGGGCTGTGAGTGTGTGTGGGGGCTGCATTCAGGAAGCCAGAAAAGGCTGTGGCCAGAGCGGGAGGCACAAGGTTATAGTGAGGCAGGAGCTTGTAGCTTTGCCAGTGGTCTGTGGGGACACAAGGGTGGATCCCAAATAGGAGAGACAAGACCAGCTCTGTATGTTGTGTGGGGTGAGATAAGAAAGGATTCGGGCTGGAGAGGTGGCTCAGAGGTTAAGAACACTGCTTGCTCTTCCAAAGGTACTGAGTTCAATTCCCAGCAACCACATGGTGGCTCACAATCATCTGTAGTGAGATCTGGTGCCCTCTTCTGGCCTGCAGAGATACGTGCAGACAGAACAGTGTATACATAAAAAATAAATAAATCTTTAAAAAAGAAAGAAAGAGAGAGAGAGAGAGGGGGGGGGAGAGAGAGAGAAAGAAAGAAAGAAAGAAAGAAAGAAAGAAAGAAAGAAAGAAAGAAAGAAAGAAAGAAAGAAAGAAAGAAAGAAAGAAAGAAAGAAAAAGAAA